GGCAGCCCGGCATGCACCCCGTGCCGGGCAGTGGGGACATGCCGGGCTCCCCGTCACCATTGGGCTGGAGTGCTTTGCCAGCGCTGTGTGTGTCCTCCAGCTCCTCCACATCCACGTCCTCCACTTCCTTCTCATCCTCCTCCAACTCCTCTTCATCCTCCTCTTCCACGTCCTCCTCCACCTCCACATCCTCCTCCACATCCACCTCCACGCCCTCCACCTCCTCCTCATCCTCCTCATCCTCCTCCACCTTCTCTTCATCCTCCTCTTCCATGTCCTTCTTCACCTCCACGTCCTCTACATCCCCCTCCACATCCTCCACCGCTACACCCCCCGCCCGCAGGGCAGCCAAGGCAGGTGGGCACGGGTGGGCTGGCACCCCACGGAGTGCTGTGGTGGGATGGGCGATGCCATTGGGCCATCCATGTGCCCCGGTACCGATATCGTCTGTCTGCGGGGCTGTCTTTGCTGGGCTGCTCCCGGCCGCCAGGCTGGGCCGTACCAGTGTCCTAGAGGGGACACGGGGCTCAGGGCCACCAGATCACCCCCAGGGTGAGCAGGGCACTGCCACCCTCCCCCAGGGCTCCCTGGGCACAGCCAGCCTTTGGGGATGGAGAGGGCAGTGGGGCTGGTGACACCGGGTGGCACCTGGTGACAGGGGACCAGGGATGCTGGTGCCACCAGCCTGGGCACCCACAGAGCAGGTGGCACCCAGAGACCCCCGTGGCAGTGGCAGCGGCAGCGGGGAATTGGGGGGTGAGTGTGTGCTTGTGGCAGTGCATGCACATGAGTGTGTGAACAGCAGAGCAGGCATAAGTATGCCGGAGCGGCTGCGTCCATGAGTGCCCCCCTGCAAGTGTGCCTGGGGGCACGGGTGTGCACGCACACGTGTGTGCCCCTGTGTCTCAGATGTCACAGTGTCACAGTGTCGCAGCAGACCTGTGTCTGGGCACATGCTTGGCAGAGGATGGCGGTGTGTGTGCATGCATGCATGCGTGGCATGTTTGCGGGCACGGGCATGGTGTGCATGCCGGTGCGGGTGTCTGTGCCAGCCTGGGGCCACGTATGGAGGGCTGGCACAGCTGGGGTGCCATGTGGAGTCCGGGGTGGCAGAGGGAAGCCCGTGTGCTGCTCTGCGATGCTGAGCCCCCAGTGCCCCCGGTGCCCCCAATGCCCCTGGCATCCCCAGTGTCCCCAATGCCCCTGGTGCCCCCTGCGTCCCCAGGCTCACTCGGAGAACATGGGCCAGGCAGCGTCGAGGTCAGCCCTGCGCAGGGCCAGGTGGAAGGTGACGCCGTCCAGCTCGTAGAGGCTGCCCAGGATCTCCGCCCGGCGCTGGGGGCTCAGGAAGGGGCTGCGGGCGTAGTACCACTCGCTGCAACCACAAAACAGGCTCACACACCCTTCTGCACCCGGGGCAGGCACCGGCGCCTGCAGCACCCTTGCTGACCGGGTGCTTCAGGGTGCTGCCTGCCCTGGCCGTGCCCCTGCCACCGTAAGCATCCACTCCCCATGCCCCCAGCTCTCACCGGAGGCTTTCGGGGTCGAGGAGGCAGAGCTGCAGGGACTCTGCCAGCTGCCGGTGCACCAGGCAGTACCGCAGGAAGGCTCGGCCCCTACCCACGGGGGTCTTCAGCTGGGGGGAGAAGGTGTTATCCAGCCCTGCCATGCCAGTCTTCCCCCCCCACGCCTCCTTCCCAGCCCATGCAGGGGGGAAGGGGATCCCCAGGGCCAGGGCTGGGGGGCAGCAGGGACCCCAGAGGGGAGAAAATCCTTTGTAACGCCAGTAGGCGAATCCTCAGTGCCCGGGTGTGTGCCCCTGCACAAGTGCATGTGCACCTGCAAACAAGCACAAGTGTGCGCCTATGTGCATGCATGAGCCCTCGGGCACCCCGCCAGCCTGTGCCCACCTTGTCCAGGGAGGTGACGAAGCGAACGCCCTCGTGCTCCTGCCGGCGGCGCGCCAGGCCTTGGCACAAGAAGTCCCAATAGTCCTTGCGCTGCCCAAAGAAGCTCCTCTTCTCCTTGAGGTCGAACTGGCAGAGACACAAACTTGGGCTTGCTCGTTTGGGGGTGTCCCCTGTCCCCCCAGCCTGTCCCCTGTGCGGCTGGGATCCAGCCAGCTCCCCCAGTAGGGTGGATCCTGGTGTCCCCCGGCTGTCCCCTCTTCGCTGGCTCTGCACCTCAGTTTCCCTTTTGCAGCACATACAATTACACATGTGGATGTGGGTGAGCCTGGTCCGGGTGCTCACGTGGCTGGGGATGCCCAAGGCTGGACAATGCTGGCTGGGGTCATCCCACCCACCAAAAAGGCCAGTGTGGGGTCCCTTCTGCTCTCAGCTGTGCCCCAGGGGAAACTGAGGCAGGGAGCAGCGGGGACGAAGGAGCGGCGGTACCTGGAGGAGGAACTCCAATTGGGCACAGAGGCTGTGCAGCTCCCGGCTCCCATCCGTCACCGGTAGGTTCTGCTCCCGGTAGCTGCGGTTCAGCTCGGCCACGGTCTCTGTGGGATGGCAGGGCTGAGCTGGCACGGCCCTGCCCAGGCAGCGGGCATCCTGCCCCATCCCACCCCCCCTCCTCGCTGCCTCCCGGCTCGGGGATTTCTGCTGGCGGGTGAAAGAGGAACCTACTCTGGGATGAAAAAGGGGAGCAGGGGGAGCGAGGGGCACAGGTACCCGCTGGGCACTGCTGGTCCCCTGGGGCTGGCAGCAAGGACGGTAGCAGGCAGCAGTGGCAGCGTTGGCACTGGGATGCTCTGGAGCACTCCCAGCAGTGACACCCCCCCCACTGCCCACGGGCTGGGTACAAGCAGGGACCCGGCATGTCCAGGGCGAGATGTGCCATGCAGGGGACACGCTGGCAGGGGAGAGGCTGGCACACTTACTCTGCAGGTCCTTGATGACGCGGTTGAGCTCCCCGTCCCCCGCCATAGCTGTCCCCTGGGAGTCTGCAAAGGCAGGGGCAGCGATGAGAGGTGCCAAGCTGGCACTCACCTGGCACCCCCAAACTCTTTGCCCCAAGAAGAGGGTCTGCCCCCCCAGCTCCACCCTGGAGCTGCCTGCTGTTAAGGTAAGAGGGGGTGGGCTCAGGCACCCCTTTTCCACGCCCATGTCCCCCCACTACATGGGATATGGGGTAGGCAAAGGTGCCCCATCCCGTATCCCCTTAGTTGTCCATGTGCGCTGTCCCAAAATGCCCCGGGGCTCTGCCCCTATGCCGTGGCTAGCCTCTGCCCCCATTCCTTGGGGGGCTTCTGGGGCTGAGCCCCCCCACCCCAGTGTGTCCCTGTCCTCGTCCCTGTCCCTGTCCCCCAGGCTTCAGGATACAGGTTTGGCGTGGGGGAAGCACTGCCTTTGCTTCTGCTCTCGCTTCCCTTGCTTACACCATGAACAGCACAGGGGGCTCCCAGGGGGGCGGGGAAGGGGGGCACACAGCCTCTGACATTCAGCCCCCCAAACCGAGCTCCACCCTGGGCAGAGTCCCCTGGCACAGCATGCTGCCTGTGGGGATGGCGTGGGGCTTGGGGGTGTTGTGGGCATGGGGCGGGGGGCAGGGGGCACAGTGCAGCGGGGATGTTTTGGGGGGTGGTGGGTGGCACCCTGGGGACAGGGCGAGGGACAGTGTCCATGGAGGTGGCAGGTCCTGGACTTGTCACCGTGGGTGGTGGCTGGGCACAGGGCTGGGGGAGCCCATGTGTGTGCATGGGGGTGTGCATGGCAGGGTGCGTGTGAGCTCACAGAAGCGTGTGTGCACAAGTGTGCCTAAGCATGCCCAAGCGTGCGCGAGTGCCCCGTGCTCCCTGCTGCAGCAGGGTGGCACAGCAGGCAGGGCAGGACATGGGACTCCGGACGCCTGGGTTCCTGTCCTGGTGCCCTTGGGTGACCTTGGACGAGCCGTCTTCTTGCCTGCCCACCCTGCCCGTGCCTCAGTTTCCCCGGGGAAGAGGAGTCCCTTACCTGTGGCCGGGGAGCTGTGGGGTGCCCCGAGGTGCTCGCTGGGTGCTGGGGGGACGCTGGCGTGTCCCTGCGCCGACGCTGCCGCCCGTCTGCTTCTCCTTTTGTACCTTGGCCAGAAGGAAGTGTGGGACGTCGGGGGGGCCACAGGAGCCACCCCCCGCCCTCCCCGCACCACATCAGGCACTGCGGCTTGGCCCCCTGGCACCCAGATCCTCGGTTTGGGGGATGCCAGTTTTGGGGAGGGGGTTAGCGAGGCTGGTCCCCCTGTGCAGCCCCTGCAGAGGGGGGGAAGGACAGTGCCAGGCCTGGGGGGGGCCCTGATGCCCTCCCATGGTAATGGGGCTTGGGAATGCTTTGAGGGACCCCCCTGCAGTTTTTGGGGAGGGGGTCCGGGACCCATACCCAGCTAGCAGCAGCCAACAGCACCCCTGGGGCAGCAGCAGCCCCTGGCACAGAGCCCCCCCTTCCATGCACAACAGCCCCCAGGGGCAACAGCCCCTGGGCACAGAAACACCCCCCCAGGAGCCACAGCCCACCACAGAAAGGCCCACAGGCCTCCCCGGACATCTGTCCCCCAACATGGGGGCTGTGCCCAGAGCCGGGGTGCAAACTCTTCTCGGGGTACCCTGGGCAAGGCCTCCCCCTTTGCCATCTGTGCCTGGGGGGCCCCCAGCCTGGCAGTGCCCCTTGGCCACTGTGCCCGTCCCCCTTTGCCGTGCCAGCCCTGCCCTGCAGGCTCCTTCTGGGGTGGGGG